AAGCAATCCTCCTGCCTCAGCCTCCCAAGTAGCTGGAACTACAGGCATGCGCCACCATGCCCGGCTAATTTTTTCTATATACTTTTAGTTGTCCAGATAATTTCTTTCTATTTTTAGTAGCGACAGGGTCTCGCTCTTGCTCAGGCTGGTCTTGAACTCCTTAGCTCAAACAATCCGCCCGACTCGGTCTCCCAGAGTGCTAGGATTACAGACATGAGCCACCGCACCCGGCCTAAAATATTTCTTATTTCCAGTCATTTTATTTATTGGTATTTTCCGGAATTGGATGTGGGTAAGTGATAAACTAAGAAATATATCTGTGTACGTTATTTAGGTACTCTGTTTCAGAAAGAATTTTAAGAAAATGGATTTCAGATTTGTTTCTTAGGTCATGACTTGGGAGATGGTATAGCTTAGTTGTTGAGAGCACAGACTTTGTCATTAGTCAGATCTTGGCTGAAGTCCAGTCTCACCTTGGACAGCCTCTGAGCCTCAGAATGATGTCTCTGAGCTTCAGTTTTCTCATCCTTAAAATGCAAGTAGCAATTATTCCTAATTCATTGTATGTTTCATGTTTTTTTGAGAAGAATCGTATGTTACAAAGCCTAGTTATATATATTTTGTACCTGAGATTTTTAGCCACATATAGTAAATCTAGATGAGACAGAAGGGGCTGCCAGATAAAGTACTTGCAGGGTAACTTTACTGTAAAATGATTGACAACATTTTAATTTTCCAGTGATAGAGGAAAGAATTTTTAATGTTTCCCTTTTATTTCTTGATTTTGTGACTATTTTATTCATCTCTTGCTTTTTAAACAGAACCAACTTTGATTATTTACAAGAAGTGCCTATCTTAACACTGGATGTTAATGAAGATTTTAAAGACAAACATGAAAGTCTGGTTGAAAAGGTAGATTAAGACAAAGACTATACACTAATATTTGTTTTGTCTAAAAAAGTGTACTAACTTGTAAGAAAACAGTTTTCCAACAGAAAAGGTTATATAAAGTTACATTAAGAAACAGTTAAGAGCTTTAGAGGACTTTAGACTTTTAGATTCTAATCCTGACTAAATTCTAGTTTTATGGCCTGAGCTAAAATAAGGATCTTTTTTATCCTTAAGTTCCTTTATCTGTAAGATAGGGATAATTATAATAACAAATGTTCTTTCTCACCCCCTTCTCCTCTGTTTTGTCCCCTTTTCTTCCCCTCTTCTTTATACCACCAATTTTTAGATATTTTAATAATAAACTGCTTGTGAAATTAAATTTATCTTATCTAATAAGTTCAATATGGAAGATATTTAAAGTTGTAAGATGTAGATCTCATC